CATTACTTGACCAGGTCTTCCTACTCCTGCTGAAATGTACCTGAACTGCACAGGAAGATAAGAGACTTATCCTCTTTACTCAATCTCCACTAAATTAGTCAACAAACACTTATGGGTACTAGGGAATCAAATCAGAAGTGAAACAGTCCCTGCCCTCAAGGGGCTTGTGATCCATTTGAGAGATAAGCTATTCACAAAGACAATTAAGCACAGGATATGTTCCAAATCCATAAGCCTTGATTGGGTAAACCATTATTAATGGTCGGGAATGCTCTTTTGTCTTGACCAAGGCAGCACTTGAATTGAGCCTTCAAGGGAGCTAGGGACTCAAAGAGGAGGAGATGAGGAGGGAAGGCATTCCAGTCATGGGGGAAAGCCTGTGCAAAGTCATGGAGGTGAGAGATGGAAAGTCCTATTTGGGTTTGCCTTGGGGTGGGATGCCCAAGAAGTTTGGCTTGGCACAGACTTTGTTAGGGAAGGGGATGAATAATCAGCCTGGAAAGATAGTCTTGAGCCAGATTATGAGGGCTTTCAATTTACATTTTATATGAAAAGCAAGAGGGAACTTTTGAAGCTTCTGGAGTAGGGGACAAATGTGATCAAGTTTGTGCTTTAAGAATAACAGCATAAATAAAATGCTATGGGGATAAGGAGGGGCGAGAGGATAAGGGAGGGATCTTTAGAAGTGAGGGTGAGGGAATAGGTTAAAGGTGGGGAATAAAAGGGTGTTTAGATTAATGGGAATGAGAGAACAAGGGAGGGATCTTTGGAGGGGGGGCTAGGTTAAGTAATAGGAGGGCAAGGCAGAGGGTAGAAGTAAATTAGAGAAGTTAGGAGGGATAGGAAATAAGAGATATGCACAAACACCAAAACAAAGATCAGAAGCAGAATTTGTTAGGAAAAGTATATGTCTATATGTGTGTGTATGTATGAGTATATAAGTATATGTGTATCCATATATCTATATCTATATCTATACATAAATATATCCTCACTTAATTGTAGCCTTGTGTGGGGGGGGGAAGAAAAAGTAAAAAGTGCGCAGCAGAGAACAAAAGAAAACGAACAAGGAAGCAGTGAAAAGACTGACAGCTTTCAACACAATGCAGAGTACTTATTACATAGGCTTTCTTGAAATGGATATTTTTCTGCTATATATTTTGAATCTTCTCTCACATTCTGCTGTGCACATGACATGCTTTTTTTTCTTTTCTTATTATGTATTTATGTTTCAATATTTAAGTTTGTGGATTTTTTTCTTTTCTTATTCTGCATTAAAGTTTCAGTAATTAAAAAAGAATAACAGCATATATTGTAATCAATACAATGATTACTCTGATCAGTACAATGATCCAAGGCATTTCTGAAGAACTCATGCTGAAAAATGCCATCCAACTCCAGAGAGAACTGAATTCAGAGTGCAGATTGAAGCAGATTTTCTTTTACTTTATTTTTCTTGCCTATTTTCTTTTACAACGTGGCTAATATAGAAATATGTTTTGCACGACTTCACATGTATAATGAGCATCATATTGATTGCCTTCTCAAGGGGTGGGGGAGGGGATGGAGAGAGGAAAAAATTTGGAACTCAACATAAGAAAATAATTGTAAAGTTTTTAAAAATTAAAATAAAAAAAATAATAGCCTGACAGGTGTGTGGAGGAGAGATTGGAGAGCAGGATGAATTAAGAAACTATTGTAATAGTCCAGATGAGATGTGTCGAGGGCCTGGACAAAGGTGGTTGTAGAAAATTCCATAAGGGGAATCCAGCTTTGATCTATGGGTTATTTTAGCCTGGATAGAATCTAAATATACAAAAAGAGTCATAGAGGAGAGATGAGGGAGAAACTTTGTAAGATTTGCTCTGAACACTAGGCAAGTCATATCCCTAAAATTCAGTAACTGTTGGAATTGTATTTTATTAAACAAATAGTCCTATTTTTTCTATCATTGTGGCCTGGAGAAAACATAATGAAATAATAATTCCTATTTACAGATAGAAATTTGCCTTCCAGAGCAACTTACTAACATGCAGTATTATTAGCATCTTAAGCATTCAGATGATCAGTATGGCTGATGTCATTAAAAATTCCTTAGGATGGTTATTGATGAAGAGCTGAAAATGAAGTGAGCTGAAAATGTTGAGGTACCAGAATCATGCTCGCCATGCACACCTGAGACTGCAGAGAGAATTTACCCACATATAGAGGTGCAACTGCATGTGTGCTGGGCCATCCTATGAAGTGTCTACTGATTTGCAGCTGAGAACCGTGCTAAGAACACAGAGTTTTGGCTGAGGTGGGGATACATAAAGCACATGGGAGTTTTAGAATAGTTTACAAAAGGTATGATGAGTGTGGATTGGAAATCTGTGAGTGGTCTTGGCTTCAGTGAGTAGATTTTGTGGATGGAGAAACACAGGCATCTCCATCCATAGAGCTACTCATGCACTTGAAGAACCCAGTACATTTATTAGAGGCCCTCTATGTAACACCCTTCTTCCATTTCTTATTGCTAGCATAAATGATCTTGGGCTCTCAGTAGGTGGAGTCAGTCAGTCTACGAGCACCTACTTAGCTGGAGGACTTGAGGTTGAAACCTACCTCAGACTCTTAGCTATGTGTGTGACCCTGGAACAGTCACTCACCTCTCCTAGACTCATTTTCCTCATCTGTCAAGTAGAAATAATAGCACTTGTTTCATAGAAAGGATTCAATAAGCTAATGGGTGGGTAGGAAGGAAATAAGCATTTAATAAGTGTCTACTACGTGCCAATCATTGTGCTAGGTCCTTTACAAGTGTCTCATTTAATTCTTATGACAACCCTTTGAAGGTAGGTACTGTCATTACTCCCATTTTACAGGTGAGGAAATTGAGGCAAATAGAGGTTTGAGTGACTTGCCCAGGATTACATATCTGAGGCCAGATTTTAACTCAGATCTGACTTGAGGCCCAGCGCTCTATCCATTGTGCCACCTAGCTGCCTAAAATGCTTTGTAAATCTCAAGGTGACATAAATACTATTATTATTATTGTTATCAAACACTTAAGATTGATCCAAAACTGCTGAGATTACAAAGAAGGAAGGCAAAAATTATTGGGCAGTCAGTAAGCATTTATTTGTTGTTCAGTCTTTTTTTTTTGGTGAGGTAATTGGGGTTAAGTGACTTGCCCAGGGTGACACAGCTGGTAAGTGTCAAGTGTCTGAGGCTGGATTTGAACTCAGGTCCTCCTGACCCCAGAGCTCGTGCTCTATCCACTTTACCACCTAACTGCCCCTGTCCATTTTCAGTTGTATCTGATTCTTTGTGACCCCATTTAGGTTTTTTTGTTTTTCCCAGAGATACTAGAGTACTTTGTCATTCCTTTTCCAGCTCATTTTACAGATGAGGAAACTGAGGCAAACAGGGTTAAATGACTTGCCCATGGTCATACAGCTAATACGTGTCTGAGGCCAGATTTGAACTCAGGAAGCTGAATTTTTCTGACTTTAGGCCAGGTGCTCTAGGCACTATGGCACCACATACCTGAAGCATTTATTAAACACCTACATTGTGCCAGGCATTGTGCTAAGTATTGGAGATAAGAAGTCAGGCAAAAGATAACGCCTGCCCTCAAGGTGCTGACAGATCCCCCAGTTTAATGGAGAGACAAATGAGAATAATTATGGCCAAGGAAGATATCCACAAGCTGGATTGGAGATGATCGTAGGGGGCAGGCGGGGCTATCAGGACAGGCTTCTCCTAAGCTGGTGGGGTTTTATCTGGGACTTTAATGGATCCAGAGAGCCAAGAATGAGAACATTCCAGGCATGGGAGTCAGCAGAGAAAATAAGTGGAGTCAGGAAATGCAGTGGCTTGTGTGGGGGACAGCAAGGAGGCCAGTGTTACCCGATGTCAGAGCACATGGGGGAGAGTAAAGCATGGGAATAGACTGTCGAGGTAAGGGGGGCAGGCTTTGAATGCCAGACAGAGGATTTTATGCTTTATACATTTATATTTGAGGTGATGGGGGGCCACTGGAGTTTACTGAATGGGAGGTGACACGGTCAGAGCTGAATTTTAGGAAAATTAATTTGACAGCTGAATGGGCCTGGAGTGGACAGGCCATGTTCCCAGGCAGCTCACATTCTGATGAGGGAGGCAATATGGAAACAACTATGGAAATTCAGCATATATATGAAGCATATAGGAGCTAATCTCAGAGAGAAAGCTCAAGAGTGGAGGTAGTGGTGGTATTGGGGAATGAGAAAAGGCCTCCTCCTTCAGAAGGTGGGATTTGATCTGAATTTTGAAGGATGCCAAGGGACCTGGGTTTAGGAAGACCTGAGTTCAAACCCTGCCTCAGACACTTCCTAACTCTGTGACCCCAGGCAAATCTCTTAATGTCTCTCAACATTAGTTTTCTCACCTCTAAAATAATATAAGCACCATAAAATGTGAGCTATGATGATGATGATTTTTGTTCTTGTTATTTTGAGAGGCTATGCTAGCAGAGTACACATTCTGGTGAGTCTTACCAAACTGGAGTAGACTTAAGAATGGACCCACTCTGTCAAAAGTCAGGAGGTCTCTTTAGATGAATTTAGTGAGGCTTATTACTGAGTTGTCCTTAGGGTCCTGAATTTTGTGGCTGTGGCAGCTCAGGAAGACTGTCTGCTAAGGCACAGATCATCATTAATGGAGAAAGTCTCCACAGCAACTAAGCAACTCGGGGTACCTGCCTTTGGGATGGACAGCCACTTGTTGGGAATATTGTGGGCTCAGAAATGAGCTCTTTGTCATGGCCTCTGACTTCCTAGCTCTGAAAATCAATGATTTTTGTTTAGGGAAGAAAACTTGGAAACAATCAATGTATTCTTACAGCTATTTGAAATTAGTTTCAAGATTGAACTTCCCTTCACATTAAGCCAATCCACTTTGTCTCTCTTTCAGATGGAGATGCAGACCCTGAAAAGCACCCTAGGGCTGAAAGGGGGCTCTCCCTCCCCCTCTTGCAGGGGAGACCATTCTAGGAGTTAACTCCTCTGAGACTGACACCACCGAGGGAAATCATGCTGTTACGAGGCTTTCCTTCCTGGAAGCTAGAAAAAATATTACAATGACAGGTAAAATGCCTTCTATGTTTCTGGCTGCCTTTGACTTTCTGTAGAATGTCAGACAAAGGCACTATAAAGTGAGAGTGCCTGTGGGGATGGATGATGCCTTCCTACTTAGACCTTGGAGGCAGGTGGAGGGCTGTGCATTAAGTAATGTCAGAGGGTTGGAGGGCCAGCGCCTGGAGAGAGGGGATAGGTATGGACATTTCACTGGCTTAAGAAACACCTGGATAAGGAAACTTCCCACATCAATGCAGATCAGCACATTCCCTGTAGCTTATTGTCTTGTTGCTAAGTGTCGGTTATGGGATTTGAATCCAGGTCTTCCTGAATCTAGTCTAGTCTACGGCACTAGACTTTGTTATTATTGTCATTCAGACATTTTCAGTCATGTCCCACTCTTCGTGATCCCATTTGGTGTTTTCTTGGCAAAGATACTGGAGTGGTTTGCCATTTCTTCTCCAGCACATTATACATCTGAGGAAACTGAGGCAAACAGGGTTAAGTGACTTGCCAGGGTCACACAGCTAGTAAGTGTCTGAGGCAAGATTTGAACTCATTCGCGTACACCATATCATTACTAGAATGTGAGTGTTGATAGTGATAGTAGCTGACATTTCTATAGTATTTTAATATTTGCAAAGAACTTTATATATATATCTCATTGCACATATCTCCACCCTATGGAGTCAATACTAGAAGCATTGTACCCCATTTTATAGAGGAGGAAACTAAGGTTCAGAATGCTTGAATGACTTGCCTAAATGACACCAAAAATATGATTTCATAGGATCTTAGGATCATCGGTATCAAGTTGGATTGGAACTTGGAAGCCAATCTCTCTCTTCATTTCACGGAAAAGGAAATGAGGTCATGAGCTTAAGTGACTACCCAAGTCACTAAGGTAGCAAGGCGCCCAGTTAAGATTTAAACTCTAATCCTCTGACCCTTGAAGTTCAATATTTGTTCCACTATCCCAGGATGATCCCAGCCGGTGGCAGAATGTGCCTTGGTTTCAAGTAGCCTTTTTTTTTTAGGCTGTTGGGGTAAGTGACTTGCCTAGGGTCACACAGCTAGTAAGTGTCAAGTGTTTGGTCTGAGTCCGAATTTGAACTCACGTCCTCCTGATTTCAGGGCTCTATCCACTGCACACCTATCTGCCCCATCAAGTAGCCTTCTCTTTGTGCCTTATTCAAGGGTGTTCAGCAGATCACAGGATCAGATATTTAGAATAAGAAGGGACCTTAGAGGTCATCTGATCCGATGCCATCATTTCACAGAAGAGGAAATTGAGGTCTATGGAAGTTAAATGATTTACCCAACATCCCACAGGGAGTAAGTGACAGAGTCAGGATTTGAACCCAGATCATCTGATGCCAAATCTGCTTTTTATTGTACTACACTGCTACTTCAGGTTTGATGACTTTAGCAAAGGTCTTTCTTGGGATGAGGGGGATCAAAATCTTTCGCTTTTCTTATGTTGACGCTAATGTCGCTCAGTAATGGCTTGAGCATATCAGTTCATCTGGTAGCATGTAACTGAAAGTCAGCTGATTGATTTTTATTTACTTTTCCATCAACTGGATTAGTATTGTGGAGATATGGCTTTGACCCACTCTGAGACAAAGGAAAGCAACACGCAGCTTGGAAACAGTCATGGAACAGAGGTAGGAGGGCTGGATTTTGGATTCAGAGGATCTGGGTTTGAATTTCAACTCTTCGACTTACTGCCTCTGTGACCTTGGTCAAGTCAACTCATCTGTCTTGGGGTCAAGTTCCTCTCTCCAACACACGGATCTACACTGAGTATCACACTTTTTATTGTTTTGTTTTGTTTTGTTTTTAGCATTTGGAGGCCAACCAGAATGCTACCCTGAAGTACTTAGAAGAAATAAACAGGACAATTTGCTTTTTCAGTATCTATTTTCCCTTCCTCTACCTTACAGACTGAAAATCCATATGGCTTTTCCATAACATTTTCCACACATTAAAAAAAGTCAGTGTAGATACACCCAGTAGAATTGTGTAAATACTATTGGATTCTTGAAATATCTTGAGAAAAGTGTGATTAAAAAAAATAATAAACTCCCTCATTTCATTTCCAAATCTCACTAGTATTCACAGCAGGAACTATTATCCAAAATGACCCCCCATTTTCTCAACTTTAATTCATTCTAATGTTGTTGGTATTTCCCAAATGTTTCTGCCACAGTGACTCCATTCCATTATTTTTGCATTAAGCAGACCTGAGTGTGAATCGGCAGCACATTTGTGAAGCTAATTTGAACCCATCTGCAGATTTTTCATGTAATAATAGGATTGTTGGCATTGAAGGATAATTTAAGCAAGGCATATCTGTAAAGCGCACTCTGGCTGGAAAATGAAAAGGGTATTTTAAGCCCATAAACAAAAAAATGGTTCCATAAGGACTTTCAATATGAGTTCATCACTCATGAAAAATGGATGAAATGTTTAAAACAAGCTCATAAATAGAATTCTAAGCATGTTGATATATAGATAAGTCTATATCTTTAAAACTGTGCATCTGCACCTAAATCCATGTTGAATAATATTTATTTCTCTATGGCGTGAAGTCAATATTTCCAAGGAAAATGCTTTTTATTTAAGTGAGGGTACAATTGCAATTTTTAGATGACTATGTAAAGGCAGTTGAATGGGAAAAAACTAGAACTCTCACTTAAAATCCTCACTTTTATGTGGACAGAACAGAAAATGGGTTACTTAGGTGATTCTATGCTCATCTAACCAATGGAAATTTATTTCAGTCTTTTAATCCTCATACTGATGGAGAAATGCTGTTGAATGAGATACCTTGAAATCTTAGCTGACCTGAGACCTGATCTGTCATCTATATGTCTCAGTCACATTGGGACAATGGATTACTTTGAGCTCAAGGATTCAAATAAACAATCCATTCAACAAGAAAAATATGTATGTGTGTGTGTGTGTGTGTGTGTGTATCTATTACCCTCAGGTAACACTAGTTCCTGAAATTGGTAAAAAAAAAAAAAACAGTTCAGGAAGATAAAAGCAGATGAAAGCCTCTGTCAAAGAGGTTAAAAGAAGTCAGTAACAAGGTTTCCTGGGGTCTCAGGAGCTCCTTTCCAAGAATCTTAAAAAACACTTTTATGTTCTTCTTGCCCAAGAGAACCACAGCCAGTTCCTAGATCAAACTACCTGGGGGCAAAGTTAACCCCAATTTCCACATGTCTGAACCTTGGTTTCCTTACCCATGAAAGTCCCACTGGTGCTGGGGGAATGTTTGTGGAGGGGAGGGCATATGAATGCATATCTCCCATTTTTACCCGCATTCTAGCCCCTGACACTATAGTATTATAGAATCATCAACTTAGAGCTGTGGAGGGACCCCAGAGGTCATATAGTTTAATGACTTTATTTTACAGATGAAGAAATTAAATGCTAGGGAAGGTAAGTGGTCTGCTCATAGTCATATAGGTAGTAGAATCAGAGGCAGGATTTGAATCTAAGTCCTTTGACTCCAAACTTGTTTCTCCTCTCGTACCATGGTATAATCACTTTCAGATGATGTTCAGTCATGTCTGACTCTTTGTGACCCCATTTAGCATTTTCTTGGCAAGGATACTGCAGTGGTTTGCCATTCTTTTTCCAGCTCATTTTACAGATGAGAAAACTGAGGCAGAGTTGAGTGACTTGCCCAGGGTCACTCAGCTAGGAAATGTCTGAGGCCAAATTTGAATTATAGAAGACTAGTCTCCCTGACTCCGGTCCCAGTGTCTATCCCCTGTGGCACCTGGTCACCGCTATAATGACTTAGGTGGGGCAAAATCTTTCTGAGTATTTGAAGTGTTATCATTAACCACTAACTTATTTCTATTACACACTGAAGCATTTACATATGTTTCCCACTCATTTAAGGAGGAGCCAACTTGGTATCCTGTGGAGGATCTGGTTATGTCAGGTTCTGGAATATATTCAAGAAGCAGCTTGTGGCCCAGTTTGTGGCCCACAGTGGAGCTGGACCCATTATCATGACCGTTGACAAGACAAATCAGCACCTTGTCACAGGAGATCCCAATGGCTGCCTGAAGATATGGAACATAGAAGTATGTGTTGTCTCTCCTGAATTCCTCTTCATTTGCCCTGATTGTCTGTTGTTGTTCATGATTATGAATCAGGCCCTCTTTTTCCTTTACAGGAAAAGAAATGACCAACCTGATTAGATAAGGAAGATCATTCACTATAATTGAGTTCAGATAATGATTTTTCCTAATTTAAAAATAAATTTTACTACAGAATTTCCAAGTTGCAAAGGCTCCCAGAGGTCACCTAGTCCAACCCATAACTGATTAAAAGTCCCCACCATAATCCATCATAAGCCATCCAGGTTTTTCTTAAAGAACTCTGGCATGGGGCACCCCACTACCTCCTGATGTTGTCCATTCCACTTTTAATAACAGCATTTACATAGCGCTTTCAGGTTTGCAAAGGGCTCTATAAACACTATCTTGCTTTATTCTTGTAACAACTGGGGGAGGGTAGGTGTGTCTACCCCCATTTTACAGATAAAGAAACTGAAACAAGCAGTAGTTAAGTAACTTGCCCAGGGTTACACGACTAGCACCTGAGTCTTGATCCTGTCTCAGATCTTCCTGGCTCTAGGTCCACCATACTATCCATTTTGCCATAGCTGCTTTGGACAGCTCTGATTGTGAGGAAGTTTTTCTTTACATTGAGCTTAACTTTTCCTCTTGGCAATGGCCACCCGTCATTCTTGATTCTACCCTCTAGACCCAAGTAGAATAGTTTAGTCCTTCTTCCATGTGATGGCTTTTCAAATAATTGGTGATGGCTTTCATATCTCCCTTAAGACCTCTTTTCTAAAATCTAAATATCTCCTTTCCCTTTAACCAATCATCATAAGGCTGAGTGCAAGTGCCTTCTTTATCCTGGTCTCCTCACCATTGGACGCTCTCCAGTGGATCCAAGTCATTCTTAAAATGTGAAGCCAAGGACTAAACACAATATATAGTCTGGCCAGGGCAGAGGACGGAAGGATTGTCATCTCTTTACTCTGAGGTTTCTGAATTTCTTGAAGTTTCTTAATTGAGCCTAATATTGTTCACATTTTCTTGGCTTCCCTATGACATTGCTGACTCATATCGACTTGCAGACCACTTTTGCTGCCAGCTCTTATGTATACAAACTTCTCTCTAGCCACACCTGCACCATCTAATGAAGTTGATTTTTGAACCCATGTATAATACTCTATATTTATCCTTCTTAAATTTCATCAAATTAATTTTGTCCCAAGACCTTTATGAATCCTGCATCTGACATCTATCTTTGTACCTTCAGGAAATTTTTTTGAGTTTGCTATCTATGCTTTTGTCCAAATTAATGATAAAAATGATAAACAGCACAGATAGTTGTGGCCTTCTTTTAAACTGATATTGAGTCCTTAATGTCTCCATTGCAGGTCTGAACTTTCAACAAGTTCTGAATCAACATAAATGTATTGTAATGTAACCTACATATTTCCAGGTCCACAAGAATAGCATGGGAGACTTTATCAAATCCTTTCCAAAAGCCATGGTAAAACTAATTGATAGAATTCCTTTAATCTACCAGTTTATAAAGCTTGCCAAAAAGGGATCTTAGAATATTTGGCCATGACCTTTTTTGGAGGAAGCCAAGTGGTTCTTTGTGGTGCCTGCTTCCTTTTCTAGATGTTCATTCATCATTTAAACAGTAAAATGTCTTATGTACAACAGTCATAAGTTGATATTCTTCTCCAATGCTGTAGTGTGCTGTAGAAATGATGCTGTGTTCTTGAAGGTCATATTAGTGGGCCCCAAGCTCCATCATCTCCTGCCAACATCAAAAAGCTTTGAGTATGGGTGTGAATATGAATTGCAAGTTTGTTATTGAAGGCACAGTCTTGCCGAGTTCAGAAGGTCTCATCACTGGGTTGGCCAGAGGAAGAGGCATTGTTTTTGGCCACAGAAACTCTCAAAGAACCATCTGTAGAGGTAGAGGAGAACCTATGAACTTTGATATATGAAATTCTGACAATAGTAAACATAATCTTTCTCTTTGTTGAAAATTATTGTTAGGCCCAATGTTAGATGATACAATTTTCTGTATGTTGCCCAATATCTTTGGTACACTTGTATGTCTGATGGGTTTCTTTGACTGGTATGTACTGCAATACATTTCAACGAAACAAAAATGACAACAACTGATGTACACTGGCAGAATTGTCACAAGTCCATCATCAAGTACCTTGTATGTTTCATTGGAAAGACCAAAACGATATGTGAAGAGAGGAAGAACAGATGCGTCTAAAAATTCTGATGTTCATTTGCCTTCCTTTGACCTTGTTGTGAGATAACTCTCTCCTACTCTGCCCTACCACCATCTGGTGATCATCAGGTACAAATCGTTTTGGCAGTGGGAGTTAGTGATGTAATGACAATTCCAATCTTGGAAGTTTAGCTCTACTTTACATTTCCCCCACGTTGTATAGTCAACAATGATGAGCCAGGAAATAGCATATTTTTCTTAGTTTTGATTCCAAGTGCAATTGGAAATAAATTTCACCAAAACTTTCAAGGCTGTCTGCTCATCTTCATCTTCCCCACTATTTTTCATTAGTTGGCCAGCAAACCCTTCATCCTTTTTTCCCAAGCACTAATCTGATTCTCCCTAATTTGAACTGTGATCACTACCTTATCTAGCTTCAATTCTTAGATACTCTGTCTCTCTGAGTCTCACTTCGTCTCTGTCTCTGTCTTTTTCTTTCTCTCTCTGTCTTTGTCTCTCTTATTTTGTCTGGCTCCATCTCTCTGTCTCTGTCTCTTTCCGTTTCAGTCTCTGTCTTTCTCTTTCTTTTGCTCTCTGTCTCTGCCTCTTTTCTTCTGTCTCAGTCTTTTTCTCTCTCACCTCTCTGCCTCTATCTGTCTGTCTGTCTCTCTTTTCCCCTTCAACCTGGCTATGGCCAATTCAGTCTTCAGATAATCACATACCAGTCTTATATTTTGTGCCATGTCCATAAGCGTGAGAACAAGAACAACGTAAGAAAATCAACGAATCAGACAAATAATTGTTTTCACTGTTAGGATATTTTCTTTCTCTTGCTAAAAAGTTGTCAAGCCATCTGACAAGCTTTATGCACATCAATACAGCCTTATTTAACTCTCCATCTTGTTCATTAAATTTTCCTTTTTATTAATGTGTTATTTCTACATCATATTTTTTAAAAGTGAAAAAAATTGTCTTTTATTCTGGAAACAATAGGGATTCATCAAAGATTTGTAAATTATTGGGTGACATGATTCCATCTGTTTTGACATCCCTAAAAGTTATAACTGGCTACTTCAATACCTTCCCCCAACTCAAAAACTTCCTTGACACTTCATTGTCTCTGGGTTAAAATTTAAAAAAAAAACACCTAGCATTTTTGTTCATCCACAATCTTGTTTTCAGCCACTTTCCCAGTCATATTTCACTTCAGTCCTTATCATGCCCTCTTTCCATTCCAATCAAATTGGCCTGGCAGCTCTCTCCCGTGTACATGACTCTCCATAGTCTTTCTACCTGCCTTAGCTCATTCCCCATGTCTAGAATGGCATTCCTTCTTCATCTCTACCTCACACAACCCCCAGCTTCCTCCAATGCACACAGCATGTGTTGTAACATACCCAAGGCCTTTCTTGAGTCTCTTAGATAGTAGCAGTCATTCTCTCTCGAAATTACTTTGATCACTTTGTATACATTGCATACTTTCTCACTGGTGCACAAGTTATATGCCTTCTGCCAGAGGAATATAAGCTCCCTGAGGAAAGGGGCTATTTTTTCTTCAAATATTTGTTCAATTAAATGTAATTATTTTTATTGGTGATTTTCTCTAAAAGCTGATGGTTTTGGGTGTGTTTTTCCATTTCATTCAGGAATATTGCCTTAATTGCAATGAGAGGCAAGTTTTGCAGCCTCCGCCTCTGATAAGATCATTTCAACCTCATGAGGACCAAATCAGTTCTCTGGAGACTTGTGCATACGGCAGCCGAGTACTGATCATTGCCTCTTCTGCAGATGGCAGCGTTTCTGTCAGTGATGTCTGGGGCTCTCTGATTGGAGTATTTGGTCAGGTAGAAATATTGCTCCATTATTGTCACGGAGGGGAAGTGAGTGGGGAATTTAATGCTATCAGGGGGGATGATTTCCTTTTGAATCTCACAGTCAACTAATGTTCATTAGTCAAGAAAGAACTGAATTCTATATCTGAAGATGCAGTATCAGGAATCACTTGCATCCTGAATACACTTTGCTCTGACTGTTAAATTAATCTGTGGTAGAGTGTGTTGGGAATTATAAAATGTAATGCCTTCCCTGCTTAGGCTATAATATATCTGCTCTGTATGTATCGTGTGTGTTTGTGTGTGTGTGTGTGCATGCGCATGTGTGCTCACATGTATATATGCCAAGTTGTCTCCCCGATTAGAATGTAAGCTACTTGAGGACTTTTACTTTTTATCCTCAGTGTTTAGCACAGTGCCAGGCACATAATAAGAGCTTCATAATACTTATTGACTCATTGAGTTCAATACTTAGTGACTCATAACCTTGACAATGCGGCGTTTGGCCTAGGTCTGCCACTTAGGAGGTATGGCAACTTTAGGCAAATCTTTTTTTTTTCTCCTAGCCTTGGTTACCTTCTTTCTCTCTGTTTCTGTCTCCGTCTCTGTCTCTTTCTCTGTCTGTCTGTCTGTCTGTCTGTCTGTCTGTCTGTCTCTCTGACTAGACTTGTGATTTCCTTGGTGCAAGGAAATTCCACCTTTGCAGGCAACTCATCTGAAAAATCTAGTCTTAGAGAGTTGGCTGGGGTACTGAGGTTGTACTGTTTAAAATAATTTCAAGAGATAGTTTTTTGGAAAATGATAATCAGTTTTATCAATCATGGCCAGCATATGACTGACAAAAATGGCTCCTTATTATCTTGTTCCATGGAAGAGACTGCATGGCTACTTTTTAAGGTTTATTTGCTTTTGGACAAGAGGTGTTCCATCAGATAGCAATTAACTCTAATTGGTTAACAGTTTAATTAGAGGTGGACTTTACAAAGAGAAGTGGGTTTACTTCAAAGAGGTGCTGAGAGTGATATAACATCACTCTTGATTAGGGAGACTATCTCTATACCCAGACCATCCTCAGCCTTGAGCAGTATAGACAAAAGAATCTGTCTCCACCCAAGCTTGATTGAATGAAATTTATCTAGACTAGACTAGAGATTCCTTGTAAGTTTGGATGGGGTTGTATGGAGGAGAAATTAGAGGTCTTGAAAATAGAATAAAAAAGGGGGGGATCTCTGAATCTCCTCAAATTATTGGGGAGTTAACAACTCCCCAAGTTATTAACAATCATTTCTTTCAAAATCAAGTGACTATTCCAAGGTCACACAGCTAGTATATTTCAGTGGCAAGACTCGAAGATGATCACCCTCACTCTGAGGAAAATTCTCTATCCCCCACTTTGCAGTTCTTGAAGACAAGGATTACAAGTGAGTTATAATCATGAATCTGAGAAGGAAATGGCTATCCCATATTTTGCTTAGCCCCATAGAATCAGAGGATTCTGTGCCTCAAGGGTCCTTAAGACCATCTGTCTCCAGGGGTTCTTAACCTTGTTGTGGTGGATTGCTTTGTCAGTCTGAGGAGGCCTCTGGACCTCCTTTCAGAATGTTTTTAAATACATAAAGTAAAATACGTACACTTATAAGGAAACCAATTATGTTGGAATAAATATCAAAATATTAACAGAGTGAGTTAATCGATGCCAGATTAAGAACCATGGACAGTGCAGCCCCTTCATTTTATAGATGGGGTTACTGAGACCCGGAGAAATGAAATACTACACCCAGGATGACAAAGATAGTAAGAACAGAGCTAGGATTTGAACCCAGGTTCTCTGACTGCTGATGCAGTACTCTCACCATAGTGCTAAGATTTCTGATAAAAAATCCTTGAGGAAATGGTTAGAATTTAATTGCCATGGTTTTGTAATTACATAACACTAAAATCTCAGTGAAATTACCCTGCACACAAGTTTGGCAGACAATGACAAGTTAATAATGAGAGGCAGAAATGTGGAAAATAAGTTTTCTTCTTCCTTGGCCATCAATTTACTCCAGTCCAGACAGTAAACACTACTTTCTCTGCCAATTTGCCCAATATTTGGTGGGGGGTGGGGGCTTAAAAAGAAATACTTCCATTCTCTTTCGAATCTTACTTGTTCTTATTTCTGTGTCTTGGGCATTGATTCTCTGGCTGTGTTTGCTGCAGACAGGTGCTTTTTTACAGGCCTGCTCCATTGACTAGAATGTTGGACTCATGATCAAAGGCACCAGCGTTCATTACAGCCAGGTGTCCTGTCTTGTGAATTCTACTGCCTCACTGTCTCAGTGCCCCATATAGACTTGTTGACTGACTCTTCTCCTCTGCTTCCAATACCACTAGGATGTGCAGGTCACCATCAGCTATATTCCTGTAGTCTTTCAAACTGACCACCCTGTATGCATCATGCATGTTGCGTCAGCTTCGTCCTCCTGGGGCACAGGATCCTGCATCACATCCCTTTGATGCTCAGATATGCACCTGTTTCTCCCCATTGCCCATTAAACTCTTTGACCTGGCATGTGAGACTTCAACCATTCTCACTCACTCATTCTCTCATTTATTCTTTCCCAATTTGCTTTCATTCTTGGGCAGCATGACATGGTGGCTACAGAACTTGGATTCAGCAATGAGTAAATGAATTAAACCCCATGTATTAAGTACTATGTACAAAATACTGCTCAGAACTGAAGCTTCAATCACCAAAATAAAATAGTTGTTGCTTTCAAGTAGCTCATCCTAATGGAAGAGATAACACTCACAGGAGATTTAGCTTCAAGTCAGCTAGAAAGTCTTCAGGGTCCCTGGGGTGCAGGCAGTAATGCACCTTCTTAGAACTAGAGTCATTTCTGGTGTTGAATCACTTGACAACACCAAGGTCTTTCACGGTGAGCACTTTCTTTTATCTATCTTCAGCAAATGTGGTCAGTGAGAAGGTGGTAGGTGGCCAGAGTCTTAGCTCTGCAAGGGTTGTTTCTCTGGATAGTGGTTGTAGCAGAGGCCTGGCTGATTGGTAGCAGGGCTGGTGGTCCAAGTGCCATTACTTTGTCCAAAGCACTTGGGTTTCCCTCTCTCTCAGTGGCAGACCTGACTTCAAATCCAGCCTCAGGTACTTGTTAACAGTGATCCTAGGCAAATCATTCAGCCTCTCTTTATCTCTGTTTTTTTCATTTTTGAAATGAGGGAGGCCTGGATGGGAAGGCCTATAAGATCCTTTCCAAGTCTAAATCTCTGATTCTCTGATTGTTTGTGAGATTTCTCACTCTACCTCATATACTCTCTGTTCCATCCAAACTGGATTAATTGCCATGGTCTCTAATATAAACCTTCTCACCTTTCAACCAACTATCTTACCATTATGCTGTTTTGCTCACACTGTTCTCTAGGTTCAGAATGTCCTTCCCTGCTCACATCTTATTCAAATCCTAAATAAATGCTACCTCCTCCATGAAGCCTCCCATGATTTTACCAGAGCCCTTGGAGCTCTTCTTATGAACTTTTTTTTGAATGATGTTTGTGTGTTTGTGTATTTTTTGCCCTCTCCTAGACTGTATACTTCATGGGGATAAAGGGTAAACTCAACACCTTCCAAATGGAACTGATTTTCTCCCCCTGAAATCTCCTTTTCCTTTTGTCAATGATACTACCACCATCACAGCCGCATAAACCCACAACCTTGGAATCTTTTTCTGCTCTTTCTTTTTCCTCAGCCCCCAGTGTAATCCATTGCCAAATCCTGTCAATTCAACCTACATAATAAACTGCGTGTCCATCCATTGCCTCCTCTCTACTCATATCCTAGTTCAGACCCTCATCACTTCTACAAAACTGTTGTAACATCCTCCTAACTTATTTCCTGCCTTCAGTCTATCCCTCTTGATAATTGATCTTTTGAATAACTGCTAAAATAATCTCCTTAAGACACCTCTGGTCTGACCATTCCACTGTGCTACTCAATGATTTTCAGTTCTCCATATTGACTCTATGATAAAATATAGACTGCTTAGTCTTGCATCTAAGGCATTGAGCAATTTATCTCCCACCAGCCCTTCCTGCCTGACTTCATACAATTCCCTTCTGTATACCCAGATCAATAGCTGCTCCTTGATCCTGGCCTGCATCCACTCTTGATGTCCTCAGTGCCCTGAAGGCCTCTCCTTTCTCCTTGCCATTTGTTGAAATATTTCTTTTCCTTTAGTCTCTACCACCTCTTCCACGAAGCCTTTTCTCATGTCACCAGGCTTTTTTTCTTCATCAAATTTCCCCTCTTTGCTATGGTCACATTCTAACTTATATACCAGTTACTTGTGTATATCTCCTCCTCTCCCTCATTAAATATTGAATTCCTTAAACTTGGGAAATCTTATTATCATCATCATTTTGGCTAGTAACCTGTAGTTACTCAAGTGCTTAATAAGTTATTATGGAATTTAATGAAATTAAATAGGTGCATAATAACTGCTGAATAAATGAATGAATGATAATTATAATCACCAGTTAGTTCTACTATTTTGCTTTTAGGTTTTATAGATTTCTTTTTTTTTATTCCATAGTCATTTTCTAGATTCACCTCCTCTCAAATACCTAATTCCTTATAAGTAAGAAAAATAGCTATGCAAAATGGATCAACATGTGAACCAAGTCAGACAGTGTATTCAACATTCTTTACCTGGAGAAAAGAGATATGAGTATATTTTATACCCATTCTTCTGGGAAGAAGATCGGTTATTAAAATTAATCTGAGTTAATTGTCTTTTCACTTTTCTTTTTTCGCTTATATTGCTGTACATGATGTAACATTAACTTATAGCATGATTATATGTATTACATATTTCATTCACTTACATTATGTATATTATTCTATTGGTGCTATTTTCTTTACTCTATTTTTTCATGCAAGTCTTTCCATGTTTTACTGAATTCCTTGTATTAATAATTTCTTATGGCACAATAACATTCTATATTATCCTGACCCAATTTGTTTAGCAATTCCTCAATTCATGGGTATCCTTTTTTTTTTATAATAAATTTTTATTAGTATATTTTATTCCTCCCCTCTGGCAATTTGATTTCCTCCTTTATCCCTCCCAGAGAGCTATGTCTTAGACAAAGAATTATTTTTGAAGAAAGAAGAGGAAAAATCAATAAAATCAATACATTAAAAATCTGACATTATATGCAGTGTTCCATAGCTATGAACCTGTCATCTCTGCAAAGGAGTCTGAGTGCTTGTGTGGTGGAAGGAGTCTTCTTATAGCTCTTCTCTGGGGCATGTTTGTTTTTGGTTATTTTGCAACATTCTTTTCAATGCTTTTGTGGGTATTCTTTCCATTTTCATTATTTTAGTCCACACTTGTATTCTTTCCTTTCCTTTGCTTACTGCATTTTGCATCACTTGCAGTCAGTCAGTAAGGCGGTCAATAAGCACTTATTCAAGTTCCTGCTTTGTGCCAGGTGTTGCACCAAGTGGGTTCATGGAAGTCTTTCCATGCTATTCTGTATTTGTCATGTTTGTCACTTTTTACAGCACAGTAATATTTCATTACATTCACATCTCATAATTCTCTCTTCATTCCCTATTCAATAGACATCTACTTTATTTCTAATTCTTTGCTACCCCAAAAGTACTATTACAGCTAGAAGTGAATAAGATGCTTTTCTTTTTGTCACTGACTTTATTACTAGCAGTGGAATCTCCAAGTCAAAGGGTATAAGCATTTTTAGCCACTTTCTTTGCATGATTCCAAATTTCTTTCCAGAAATGTTGTGCAAATTCACAACAGTGCATTAGTGTGCCTCTTTCCATAGCCCCATCAATATTAACTATTCTATCTTTTGTCATTTTTAACAATTTGCTCAATGTGAGATGAAACCTTTAGGTTATTTTGATTTGCATTTCTTATTATTTGGAGCGTTCTTTCATGTATATATATATATATATATATATATATATGTATATATATATATTTTTTTTAAGCAGTTTACAATTCTTCTTTTGAGAACTATTTCTTCATATCCACCAATTACCCATTGTGTAGCACCAATGTGTAGTAATGATCAAAATCCACAGGAAAGAAACTTACTGTCAATATTTCCTTCAGTCAAGCCCAAATCATAAATTGTATCCAATTTGGCCAAGCATTGAAATAGAATATTATTCTTTGGTTCAAGGCAATTTGTGTGTAGCTCACATGTGGATCTTCCCACAAAAGCTACCCCAGGTTCAAGATGCACAAGAGATCCACATTCACTATAAAAATATAGCCCATGAATTTTGACTAATGTGTTTCTTTTTAGTAGTCATCCAGAGGACACTCTTAGTTCAATCAATTAAGTAAGCATTTATGAAGCACTTTCTATATTTCAAACCTTATACTAGGCATCAAGGATACTAATATAAAAGTCTTGACATTCCCTGCATTAGATGGAATAACATTCTGCTAGCTCAAAAGTAATTCCTTTTCATATGGAACAATTTAGTGATAAAGAGGCTATATAAGAAAGCTATTTTATGTAGGAGAAAATATTTATATTAATTATTAAAATATATAAGATATTATTGCTCCTCAACGTGAACATTTTGATACCTAATAGTTGCAGAAAGAGGACTCTAAAAATAAAAACTGATAACAGTTGCACATAAAGAAACAGTTTTCAGATGAAATTTGAGTCATTTTATAAAGAAAATGAACTGTGACTCAAATCTCCTTCTGAATAGTATAAAGTGATATTTCACTTGGAAACTATTTATTATTTTGAAGAAATAAAGATACTTAGTTAAAAGTGGAAAAAAATATGAAACATAGTTTCAATGGGCACTGCCTCAGGGCCTCACATTTCTGATGTTGCTAAATCAAAGACATTTAATGAAGTAACATTAAAAAGGTAACAATATAATATTTCCTTCATAAATATGGGATAAATTTGCTCACAAATACATCATCAATGAGAAGGGTGGATTCACTTAAGGAATATGTATGGAATAAAGCACAATAGGAAATATATTTGTGATCAAGGAACATATATGGAGGTACACCATGTGAGGCACACATGTGTCCACAACACATTCTTGTCAGCACACACATTGTGAACATATAAGACCAAAGACACTTATGGAGGCACAATTCATACATCTGTAGTTACAGGGCCATTGATGGCTTATGTGGGGATCCCTCTTGGCCTGTTCCCTTCTGGTCTTGTATGGTTTGTATTATTTATTTAATAGAAAACAGTTCAATTCCTGTTTGCAAGGCACGTAGTTTCTCCCTAGTGTATAGATGTGGCATGTAATCTCTGCAAGGTTTGATCTCTGCGAGTTTCACATGGTCACCATAAAAGAGTGTCCCACTGATTCCATGGTTGCATCTGGTTACTGTCAAACACGGCTTTGCCTGGGCATATGCCTGCAGAACTTCTCTAGAGTAATCAGATAAGTGCCACCTATCCCTATAAGAGGAAGAGTGGACCCTCTCTTTTAGTTTATAGGGAGGTTGAAAGGCTTAAGTTTCAGATCCTTTAGGGAGTCAAGACCTTCATGCATCCAACATAGAATTAAAAGAAAACCATTAGGAGCTTTTCTCTCCAGAAGTACAGTTTATTTGTTCTTGAGATCTTGGCTATGTTGGGCTTTCCACAGCAAAGGAAAATTTTTGTCTCCATGGGCCAAGTCCTTTTAAAACATAGAAGAGTCAAGTAAGTTGAACCCACAAGCATTGTTTGTCTTTCTAACTCTTCTTTCTCCCACTTACTAGGAGAAAGGTTTCTATCCTAAGCCTCTATGGCTTAGTGTTAGAAAGTTCTTGTAGAGCTTTTTAAATTTCTGACTGCCAAACTACACACTTTCAGAATTATTTCAGGGGATCTGCTCTTCTAGAAACTGTGATGAAGTATCTGGAAGAACTGAAAGCCAGTTCATTTCACTTTTAGGGATTGCTGAGTTTTAGATTTCTGAAGACTCCATTTTTCTCAATCCTGAAATTCTTTGTGGTCTCTTATGTAATTAAGTATGCGTACAGGGGTGCACATATGTGTGTGGCAGGTGGGGGGAGGAGTTAAAACCCCTTAGGTGGACTTGCTTGGAGGTAACAGTCTATCTCAATCATTTGTTGCAAATCATTGTCTTTATAATGTCTGCGTAACCAAATAGCCATGAGCTTTCCTACATGTGCACGAAAAGCAGTTTATGAAAATGACAGCCCAGATTGTCTGGTACTGGTTAATGATCTCATTAGTGTTTAAAGTCAGAGAAATAAGGATGGTTTATCCACTAGCTTAAATATAATTAAGACAACTGCCAAAAGGTAATGGGATTTTCTTTTCTTCAAGTGAGATGGAATAAGCACCAGCTTGAATGATATCTGAGACAACTAGAAACCCTATAATAGTCAAAAAGCAAATAACCTTGGGAAACCCGGAAGGACACACCTCATAAAGTGGAGATGGACTTCAATATTAGGCTTCATTATAGGTTGCCATGCATACATGATTGGAGTCTACAATGTGGATCCCATATTAAGATTCTCAATCACTTTATTTTTTCAACTATGAATTTTTTCTAAATCAATATTCCTATTAAGAGATATGAGCAACAAAGTATATGCCCATAAATTGAGGGATGTCTGAAAAATCAAAACAATGGTGTATCAAAGTTGGGAGGCAATGAGCCACATTGGATAGAGATTTAGCTTCAGAGATAGGAAGATAGAGGTTCAAATCCTGCCTTGGATATATCTAGGCAGGGTGGAGTGATCCTGGGCAAATCATTGAAATTGTCAGCACCTTAGGCACCCATCTAAGACAATAAGCTGCAGAGAAAGTACTAATCATCATTATTAGAGGGAGTTTCCTATGCCAATGAAACCACAAGACCGGTCCCTAGCTATGTCTTAGAGTAGTAGGATATTACTGTGCAGTATGATAAATTTGAGGCATCCAGAGAAACATGGAGGATGTGCAAGGTTAGCACAGAATGAAATAGGCAGAAACTGAAGAATACTACACAATACATGTAATAATGTAAACTGAAAGATCACCAAAAGAAACTGAATGATTAAAAAAATCAGTGAAGGTTCTACAGAACATATAACAAAATAGTCTCCCTCCTCAGTAGCAGAGAGGCCAGGGACAACTAGGGCAGAATGTTGGCTACATCATCACTTGGTATAACTACTGGATGTTTTCACTTAATTATTTTTCAACATCACAAAGATGCATTCAATGTGGAGGGAAGGAGGAACATTTCTTTTCTCAAGAAATGAGTATGATGTAAAGACAAAAGACATCAACACAACAATTGGTTTTTTAAAAGAAATATGATCAGAGCCTGTGAAAACCAACCATAAATTTAAAAAAAAACACATCAATATCTGGAATGTGTTTTCAAGATGGATTTACCACTTTGTAGGTAAGATGGAAAGAAAGCAGTTGCAGAAAATCAATGTTGCCCCCTACTCAGCCCCTTTAAAGCTTTTTTATGTGTATAAGTGCACATCTTGCTTGGAAGAATTTATTTTTTAAATCAAGAATAGCAACTTGATTTTCACAGTTCAAGCTAATTTCTTCATCCTTTCAGATGGAACATTGGCGAATTAAAAACAATGTCCCCCTTCCTCAAAGAGAACTTCCAGCAGTTGAAGATGTCCCAAGGGCAATTGCTTTACTGCCCGAGGAAGGACCTTTTTTGGTCTCCACAGAACAAACTGGGTTTAATATGAAACATAAAGGTGATGCAAGCAGCATGTAAGTCATTTTTTGGATTTGATTAAGTGTTTTCTACAACAGGCCTATTGATGTATATTGTAGGTCAAGAAAGGAAGCATTAGTGCATACACTTCCTACCCTATGGATGCAGTCCTTTGGGAGAGACGGTAAGATGGACCGAATTCTATGTAGGCATTAAATGCAGCTTTATTTCCCTAGTGGAACTCACTGAGGAAATGGATTGACACATTTTCTGAGGCTAGATTGGTTGAGTAAATTCCTAAACAACACTGGACCTTGTCCATAAACACATGGGGCATCTTCCCTTTTCCTCCCTCTTTTGCCCATTGCTACTTGCTTTAAATTAGGTAAGTTCCCTTAACAGAAAGTTTATAGTGAGATTCCTTTTCTCACTGAAAAGTTGAATTTTCAGTGTTAAAAGGAGGAAGGGGAGCAGAAAAGGTCTCTTGCCAAAGGTAGGATTCTAACTGAGATTTGAAGAAAGTCAGGGAAGTCAGGAGGTGGAGAGAGGTACAGATATACCTTGGAGATATTATGGGTTCGGTTCTATTCCCCCTGAAATAAACTGAATATCGCAATAAAATGTCGTGACTTTTTTGGCTTCCCAATTCATATAAAAGTTATGTTTACACTATACTGTAGCCTATTAAGTGTGCAATAGCATTATGTCTGAAAATGTACATACCTTAATTAAAAATAATACTTTGTTGCTAAAAAATGCTAACCATCATTGGAGCCTTCAGCAAGTCATAATCTTTTTGCTGGTGGAAGGTATTGCCCCGCTGTTGATCAGGATGGTGGTTGCTGAAGTTTGGGGTGGCTGTGGAAATTTCTTAAAATAAGACAACAGTGAAGTTTGCCCCACTAATTGACTCTCCCTTTCACCTGAACACTTAGAAGCCATTGTAGAGTTATTAATTGGCTTAATTTCAATATTATTGTATCTCAGGGAATAAGGAGGCCTGAAGACAGGGAGAGAGATGGGGGAATGGCTGGGTTGGTGAAGCAATCAGAAGACATAAAACATTTGTCAACTACATTCACTGTCTTATATGGTCATGGTTCATGGAGCCCCAAAACAATTATAACAGTAAGATCAAAGATCATTATCACGGACAACCATAGCGGATATAATGATGGGAAAATTTGAAATATTGTTAGAATTACCAACATGTGACACAGAGACATGATGTGAGCACATGCTGTTGGGGGCAATGGCTCTGATAGACTTGTCAGTGCAGGGTTGCCACAAACCTTCAATTTGTTAAAAAAAATCAATATCAGTGAAGCTCAATGAAGCAAAGCTCAAAAAAGCAAGATATACCTGGGATGAAACAATTCTAGGATTGCCAGCCAGAGAAGTTGGAAGTGAAAATTCCAGGACAACTAGTGAAAATGCAAGGAAATTGGTAAATGAAGAGTCTTGTGGGACGAACAAACAATGCAGCATCACTAGATCACAGAGTACATAGAGGGAAATAAGATGTTTAGAGACCAGAAAGGGAGCCAGGAGTCAGGTTAGAAAGAATTTTGAAAGCCAAATAGGGAACTTTATATTTGGTCCTGGGGACAATAACAAGTCATTGGAAATTATTGAATGGGGGTGTGTGACATGGTCAGACATGCACTTGAGGAAGATCAGCTATCATATGCTAAATGGAGGATGTATGTGAGTAGGGGAATGTTGAGGCAGTGAGATCAACTAAAAATATTATTCTAATAGTTTAAGCGGGAGGGAAAAAAGTCATGCTACAGGATGATAAAAGTATTGGAGGAGGGTGTGTGTGTGTATGTATAAGAGAGAGAGTGGGACAGACACAGAGGAGAGAGAGAGAGAGAGAGAGAGAGAGAGAGAGAGAGAGAGAGAGAGAGAGAGAGAGAGAGAGGTGCTACAAAGAATCAATAGGACTTAGCAAAGGATTGGCTATATGGGATGAGGGAGAGTGAGCAGTCATAGATGAAATCTAGATTATGAGCCTAAGGGACTGGGAAGTAGATCATCTGAAATTTATTTGCATAGAAATAATTGAATCAATAAGAGCTGATGAGGTCATCAAGCAAAAATCGTATAGAGGAAGAAGAGAAGAGGACCCAGAAGAGAACTTTGGGGACATACCCCTGGTTATCAAGGGCAAATTGGATGAGGATCCAAGCAAGCCGACTAAGAAGGATTGGTCAGACAGGTTGAAGATAAAGCAGGACAGCAGTGACACAGAAACCTAGTGAGAAGAGAGTATCAAGGAGAAGAGGATGATGGACAGTGTCCTAGCCTGCAGAGAGGTCAAGAGAGAGAAGCACTGAGAAAAGACCATGAGACTTGGCAATGAAGAAATCATGAATGGCTTGGAAGAGAGCTGTTTTGGTTGAATGTGGAAGTCAGAAGTTTGAATCCAGAGAATTTAAAGAGAGTGAGTGGGAAGAAGTGAAGGCACAAATTGTAAATGGTTCCCACCAATGGCACCATACCTTCAATAATTTTCTCCTCTTTGGTATAGGGAATTCCCAGTGGGCAAATTCCTCCTTCCAATGTACCCTGGTATCTGATCTGAAACTTACAATCTTAGTCAGTTGCTTGATGCACCCAGAAGTTAAATGACTTGCCTAGGCTCACTCTTGACCACTCTTTGAATGTACTATATTTGACTGTTTCCTTCCTCAAATTGCTTTGCATTTTTTATATAGCATGAATATGAATATACTTATATACACATATGCTGTTACACCTTTTAGAATATAAATGCTTTAAGGGAAGGAGTGGTTTCATTTTTGGCTTTGTACCCCCAACAAGTAGCACCTTGTCTGGCATATAATAGGTACTTAATAGAAACTCGTTTCTTGATTGAATGCTACATTTACCCATCTCTAGCACCAATCTAGCCTGGAAATAATGAGAACCCTACTCCTCCCTACTTACCCCCCCAAAATATGCTGATAATATTTTCCCACTCAGAACCTAATCTTCATCAGCATGCTATCTGATAAAATCTTTTACTATAACATTTGCCATTTAATCCCTCATGCAATAGCTTTCTTTAATTCATATCAATTGATGTGTTAAGATAATAAAATTTTCAATGTTTTCTTTTGCAAAATAGAAATTCCTATTTTTAATATTGTTTATCTTGCCAAAGGATAAGAGGTAAGCATTTGCAGCATACAAGGGGATAATATTCTTCTTTTACAAAATCCTGAAAAAAATTAAAGCAAAAGAGGTCACAAATAACTAAGACACATTATTGGAACCTGCAGTACAGCTGTCATAATTTTCTGAAATGTGACCAGGAAGCTTATTTATAAAACTTAAGAGTTCAATGAAATTATCAACTCTATAACATCTTTTGTTGCCCAGAATCCAGCACTAAGGAGGTTACTAGACATCACTCCTAAGAAAATATGATTCTGAGAAATGTTGCAATTTTATTGAATCAAGGCTGTTAATTCAAGGGCAGAGCCTTGTCAGCTCTTATACCACTCAAAAAACATAAAAGAAAAAGAAATGTGAGAAAGGTTTTTAGAAAGAACGAGATGAAACATGTGTGTTAAAGTATTAAGCCATAACAAAAAAAGGAAAAAGAGAAAAGAAAAAAATCAAGAGAAACTATAGAATGAAATGTTATCTCCATAAAAGCAAGGACTGTTGTCATCTCAGGTAGCTTTATCTCCCCAGCATGTAAGAAGGGTTAACACACAGTAGGTGCTTAAAAAGTAGCTGTTGTTTAGTCATTTCAGTCATGTCCAATTCTCTGTGACTCAATTCGGGGTTTTCTTAGCAGAGATACTGGAGTGGCTTCCCATTTCTTTCTCCATCTCATTTTACAGATGAGCCAACTAAGGCAAGCAGTATTATATGACTTGCCCAAGGTCACACAATTTGTAAGTGTCTGAGGTTGGATTTGAACTTAGTTCTTCCTGACTCCAGGCCTAGTGCTCTATTCATTGAGCCACCTAACTTCCCCTAAAAAAGTGCTAACCAAATTGAATCAAATGAAAAGAATGTTAAATAATGAAAGGAAGAAAAGTATCCAAGAAGGAAAGATGAAGAAAGAAGTGAAAGCTTTTTATTTTTTATTAAGCTGTGTTCTTATCTTGAATCCTCATAATCTTTCATGGGATTAATAGCTTGGTTGAATATTTTCCTCTGTACTTATACAAATAGTGGCTGGTTTCCATGGTGCTCAAAGAATTTTATAATATTTTACCTAGAAAGTAGGTGGGAAGGATATTAACTTTAAGCCCTGGGAAACATATGAAGATTAGAGTTTTCCTTTAAAATCTTGCCTAAAGGCCTCAAAGTAAGTTAGTAATTGAGTTAAAAACACAATACAACTCTCTCATCTCCAACACCCACATATAGCAAGCAGAATACCCTATCTCTGGAAAAAACAAAATGCAGATGAGAACAACATGTTAGATAAGGATGTAAGACATACAAAATATAGTATTTCTAAACTAACAGAAAATTATTTCAAATCTGATCAATTCCCAATAAGATTGTTGTTGTTCAATCTTGTCTGATTCTTCATAACCCTATTTAGGGTTTTCTTGATAAAGATACTGGAGTGGTTTGTGCCATTTCCCTTCTCTAGCTCATTTTGCAGATGATAAAACTGAGGTAATTAAAGGTTAAGTGACTTACTCTGAGTCACACATCTAGTAATTGCATACTTAATGATTATGGAATTATGAATCTCAGAGATCAATGGGAATTTAAAGATCATTTAATCTAAACTTTAACCCAATAAAAGAAAAGTCCTTCTTCAGCATCCAAAATAATAGTCATCCCTTCTCTGATTTATTACTTCCAGTGACAGAAACTCACTCTCTCAAATATTAGGAAATCTATTGTTGGAAAATTCCATTGACCATGTTGAAGCAAAATGTACTAACTTGTAACTTTGATGTGAGTCCAGGTCTGCTTTTAGGAGTGACAGAAAACATCTATGCTCTCTTGTACATCAAAGCTATTCAGATATGAGAACATAGCTCTCATTTCTCTGGTTTAGCTTCAAATTCAATTCAATTCATTTTAAAAAGCATGCATAAACACTTTGCTAGCCACTGGAGATTCAAAAACAGAAACAGTAAACAACCACTTTACTTGTGTAGATTAAGTCCATTATGTAATACAAACAAGTAAATAGATAAGTAGACCCTAGATATTTTGAGGAGGAAGACAGCATTAACAGAAACATCAGGAAAAGTGCTGGATAAAAGGTGACCCGAGTAAAATCTTGAAGGAAGTAAGGGCTCCTAACAGGTGGAGGCCAGGTGGGAATACTGGAATACATCATAGGCATGGGGGATTGCCTGTATACAAAGTTACATGTGAAGGCTGGCTATTAGAAACTGGGCTAAAAGCTTTAGCATTGATGATTGGTAGAAGAATTTCAATTAATTCTAGCCCATCTAGATGAAACAGAAGGAACACTGAGGCAAAGGCTTTAAAGACTATTGAGGTCATTACAAGCACTCCAAATTTATGGCAGCATCAGGAGGGAATAGGATTAAATAGTTTAAGACTTTGGGCAGCTTATTATCCTACCAACACATCACACTTGAGATATGGTCAGCAAATAAAACTTGAAGGTCGATAGATACACAGAAAGAGAAATACACAAAAGATTGAAATCTCCTTTAAAGCCATAGGTAAAGATGAAATGAAACACTGGGGAAAATGGCAGGTGACTTTTGCAAGCTATCTGTAGCAATAACAGTGTGAAATGTGTGACAAATGACAGGCTGTGATGTCTGCATAAGTCATTGAAAATTAAGTCTGAAAAATGGCACCCTAGCAACTTTGGGGTGGTTGTGGGGTAGGTGTGGAAAGACAAATCCTCTGACCTTGGCGACAGTGATGGAATACTGATCACAGATCATAGACTTAGAGGTCATTTTATCCAACCCCTTCATTTTTTAGATAAAGAAACTAAGGCTCTGGAAGGATCAGTGACTTGCTCAAAGTCACATGGCACTACTAAGTGATAGAGTAGGGTTCAAACTCACATCCGAGTGCAAATCTTATCTGACTCCACTGTACAGCAGAGAGGGACCCCTGGCAGAGGAGTTTTTAGGTGGGGACTGGGAGGCATGTTCACTTATTCTCTATGGCAGCTGAAGCTTGCAGCTACTTCATATCCAGTGGAGTGATCTAGTTATACTGTGGTCTTGAACTAACTTACAATTTGAGAACCCCATTAAGGATGCTGTAATACTGCCTACCCTTCACTTAAAAGCAAATCTTATGTGACAATGTGGAACTGCCTTTGGATTCTACATCAAATGAACAAAGCTTTTGTAAGCACCTACTATGTGTTCTAGCACAGTCATCATTCTGAATGTTTTGTAATATTGAGAGGCTGTAGCCTTGCCTTCATAAATCAAGTGAACAATCACTTCTCTCATACTCCCATATTCTCCCCTTCTGACAGGGATACACTAGATAGAATGGAGAAGAGCCAGGCAAAAACTTTCTTCTTCATGGAACTGATTGCAACACTGGTAGTATCCTGACATATGGGCTTTTGGGGTTCATGGACAGGTTTACACTGATTAGATCAATGTTGCAAATGTTTTCCAAATATAATGTCCAAACATCTCTATAAGACTTCGCAGATTCTACAAAGTACTTTCCACCCAACATTCTTGTTATGATTGTTATAATATCATTAGCATTTACAGGTGAAGAAACTATGGCTAATAGTGTTGAAGTGGCTTGCCCACAGTGACCCAACCGGTATGTTTGATCCTGGGGGCAGAACGAGGAGCATTGGTAGAATTGCAGAAAGGCAGATTTAAAGGATGTTAAGGAAAAGCTTTCTAGCAATTGGAGCTTTCCTAATGTAGGATAGACTAGGTGTCCATGTGTTGAATAGAAAATAGAGGAGGTTGCTTATCATTTAGGAGGCCTTGAAGACCTGTTCCAAATTTATTTCTTTAAAACAGATTTCCTTCAGTGCTCTCTATTTGACTAGACATCTCCATAAATATTTTGTGCTGAGGCCTCACTAAGGTATGGAGCCAAATCCTCTGCTAGTCAAGGACCAAGTCTGATAACTCTTACCAAGCTGTAAAGGTTTTGAGTTCAAGCCCTTTTAACCTCTCACCTGGACTACCACAGCAGTCTCCCTGCCTCAAGTTTTTTCCCATTACAATCCACCCTCCATGCAGCTGCCAATATGATATTCCTCTGACCAAGACACTCCTCTACCCAGTAGACTGTAGGGGCTCCGTATTACCTTCGGATCAAATCGAATCTCCTCAGTCAGTATTTAAATCCCTTCACATTCTTACATTATTTTAGCATTCTAGGCTCATCACCCATTACTCTCTACACCTTCCTCAGGCCCCCTAAACTCACCTTGCTATTAATTACTCCTGACACTCCATATCCCAGTGGGTAACATTAGCTGTCCCTCATGCCTGGAATGTACTCCCTTCTCACCTTGACAACTTTGAATTTCCCCTAAGCTGCTAATGTTCCACCCTGCCACCTGCAAGAGAACCTTGCATCTGTTTCATATGTGTTTTGTTCACACACACACACACACACACACACACACACACACACACACACACACATATAGCAGATGCCTATTGGCTTATGTTAGAATACAAAATTCTTGAAGGCAGAGACAATTTCATTTTTACTTTGTATCTCTAATGCCTGGCACATAAGCATGTAAGATAAAACCTTCTTGACTGGTAATACACCATGTGTCTACTGTTGGATGAAACAAAGGAAAATAGCAAGGAGTTAGTAAACATTGATTATGTGCTAGGCACTCTGTTAAGGAGGGGGGATACAAGTACAAGCAAAAAGAAACACACTTCCTTCCCTCAAAGAACTTACAATCTGATGGGGGAAGACAACAGACAAAAAGGATCTGGAAAGTGGGGCTATAGAGAAGATTGAAGGTACCTGGCATGGCGTTGAAGTCCAAAAAGTTAGACACAAAGCTGGGAGGGATATTAAATTTGGCCAGCCTGAGCCCCTCCCCCAATGTTGGAAAACCAATTTAGTAACTTTGGAGAATCCCACTCTCACCAGAGGCTTGGGCCCAAGGCAAGGGCAAAGGATCCCCCCTCCCATCAATTTATGAAAACTATCTAAGGCACGGAACTATTTGTGGAGGAGTATCTGCATTTAAGTATTGAATAGTAATAACTCATAATGAAAGGCACCATGATCTAGTGCATGGTGGGCTGGCTTTAGAGTCATGACTACAGACCTTTATTAACTCTGTGACTATTGGTAAGTCACTTTAGCTCTCTGAGCCAGTGTGGATAGGGGATAATAATGATAATAATTATAATGCCTTTATTACCCACCACAACACAATGGCATTGTGAGAATCAAATAGAACACACACACACACACACACACACACACACACACACACACACACACACAAAGGATGGCATCTGTTATTGTCCCTGGTATTTCAATTTGCTCATTAGCACAGCAACAGATGTAAATCTCCCTAAACATGTGAAACACTTTAGCAAATTTAAAGTACCATATAAATGTGTTATTATTATAGTTATTATTATTATTACTTTCATTACTACTCCATAAAACTCTGCCTGTCCCCTACTTCCTGTTCCTCCAAATAACTGGTTTCCATGGAAATAAAAGAATGTCTCATTCTTTGCGTCCAACAGTGATGCTATCAACCAATCAGGTTGTGGGTGCGCTCTTTTAGTTGCTTTTTCAGTCATGGAGTTGGGTGGAATTTGTATCAATTCATGCCTTGGCATTGGAGTGGTGATACATATGAAGGAGATGATGATATCTCAGGTAGGGAAGGGATCTCAGAGATCGTCTAATCTCTTCCAATCATCTCATTTTAAAGATGAGAAAATTGTAAGTGGGGTTAAGTAGCTTTACTAATGGCACACAATTGGTAGAAATACTAGGAACTCAACTCAAATCCCTTGTCTCCAAATCTCAATCTAGAATCTTTTCATTATACCATGAAGAATAGTCAAGAGCCCATCTGGTACAGTTCTAGGAAGCACCCTACCACCAAGAAGAGATTTCCTTTACCTTCCTGCTGATACCTGAATTACTTAATTAGGGGCAGAGCATTTTGTAATCAAATTAAAGATTGAATATATGATGCCAATACCCCCGGGAGAGGGAATTCATTGACTGGAATTCGTAGTAATGTATAATGACTGATAGATCCCTTCCTGAGCACAGTATAGGTAGGGATAAGAAAGAAGACAAATGACTGAAGTAGGATGAGGGGACAAAAGGATATAGAAAAGAGAGTCATAGGGGTAGCAAGATGGTGCGGTGGATAGAACACTGGCCCTGGAGTCAGGAGGAGCTGAGTTCAAACCTGGCCTCAGACACTTACTAGCTGTGTGACTTTGGGCAGTCAATTAACTCTTATGCCTCCTAAAAAAAAAGAGAGAAAAGAAAAAAAGGCTTTTACTCCAAAGATTTTGACATTTTTATTTTATTACCCGAGTAATATATGAAGCAAAGTGAAGGTGGCTAAGCCATGTAGTAAGGTTGAAGAATAACCTCTGGGAGCTTCATGTGCTCCGCTGGTACTTTTTGTTGTGAATAAAAAAATGAGAAAGTTTTCCAGCAGTTTGGGTAGACTCCCAGTCCACATATGAAGGACATGTGTAGACAGGCATGTGATGGGCAGGCATGGATGGATTATGATTAGCATCATGGGAGCAGCAACATGGCAGTTTCAACAGATCATCTAAGTATACCTTTTCCTTAGTTGTGGTAGACAATTGTGTCTGGCCCTTCTCTAAGTCCACGTTATCTTGAGACATTTTATTAAAAGGTATGACTTGGTAAGTACCCAAACAGGGTTAACAAGAAAATAAAAATATTGATTCCTGAAACACCAACATTCTTATAAGCTGAGAATGTGTTATTAGCCTTCATTTGTAGTTAATATTTTATCCCATAATGGATTGTTTTGTCCAGGCTCAACCCAGAGGAAAATAACAATGTTGGCACAAACTCTAAGGAAAGCATAACATTAAAGAAAAAGACATACAAATTCTGCCATGGTGGACTGATACCAAAGTCATCAAGTAAGTACGTATCATTAGCATATTCTTCTCATCATTAGGAACCCATCAATCAGGTAACAAGCCTTTATTAAGTGCTATTATGTGCCAGGCACTGGGCAATGCTAGAGATTGATCAGGTTATGAAGTGCCAGGGGATTTACTGATGATTAGAAAAGAACTGCAAAAAAGTAAGTCAAAACAAAGGTCATCTTCCCATACTGAGTTATTTTCTCTAGAGACTGAGAGGGAACTAGTTTATAGTTCACATCACAGTCTATAATAATGTGATTTCTCTCACTGCCAATCTTTTCTCTGCTGATGACTGAAGGAAACTTCGCTCCCAGAGAAATCAGTTGTTGTATGAAGAATTCAGCCTGAGCTATAAAAAGATCCACCATTATTTGATAACATTCAATAGAAATTGTATAGAATGACATCTTGAATTAAGCCTTCATTTATTTCCTTTCCCTCATCCTCTATCACATGAAGTAGAAGGCTCAATTTCTTTTTTTTTTGTCCAAGTCATTTTTATGGGCATAATTAAAATGGATTTTCATCACCTTGTGCACATATTCAATACAATAGAGCTGCCTTGGTGAACATTTCAGCCAAACTGAAGAGCTCTTCTGAGCTCAGACCTTTCTGCATTCTATTTTGAAGAAGGCTTATTTCTCTAGCTTTTGAGGGGACTACACAAAGAACTCTATTTCTTAATAATAGAAAAGAAATTGGAGATTTTCCAATGTGGCAGAATCCTTGTTTCTATGTGAAAATGACTAAGGAATAAAAAATAAAAATAAAAACAAATGGAGAGTGTTAGGCACCTTTTGGTCCCTTTGAATAAAAAAAGGACCACTGATTCAATTGGCCCAGCTGTGTTTACAGAGTTTGCCGAGCACTGCAGCTGTAAGAGCTGAGGAAGGCTAGATCAGAAAAGTTCACTTGGCTGGAAAAATCTCTTGATTCTGGGGACTTAATGATTTTTAAAAATCCTGTTGTTCTGAAGGTGTATTTAGGTCATTGCATATCGGAACCCTGGAGGAGGTGGCAGAAGTGAACAAACCTGATTTCCTTGTCAACCCAGAGAAATACTTCAGGGAAAAGCCAGAGGAGGGATGCCCTAAAAACCTAAAGATTGCCTCACTTGCAGAAAGTAAGTTTCCCATTCTTATATTTTTGTTCTTCTCTCCAGGATGCCCTCCTTATTAAAAAGGAAGAGAAATAAAAGAAGAAAACAATTGGCTCTTTGCAATGTGGGTTAAGGTGAAATGGGATGTCAAGTCAGGTGCTAAGACAGCTCAGGCTGCTGATGCATGCTTTCTGAAAGGGTAGCCAAGGGCCTGTTGAACCATGCTGAGTTTTGAGGCAGAAATATTTTATTTGACAACTTTTCAGAAGTAAGGACACCCTGAATATTTCTTATTATGATTCTGCCATTGATAAGCCATCTTCTCCCAAATTGCCTTAATTAATTTTCAAAACTTAGTGGACCAGAGAAGAAGAAATGTTGAAAGACAAAGTCACTGACTGGTTTCTGGTGCTCTGATCTTGTTCTCATGTCAGATGCTATTTCTAGAAGATACTGAAGAGAATTATTTTGAAGCATTGTTCCCTTATGAGTAGAGGTACATGATGATAGGATAAGAAAACTCAATTTAGAAAATAGAAGGTTTTTTTTGAACATTCTGACAAAAAGTGGGTCTGAAAGGCTATGTTGACTTTTCTAAGAATTCGAAGTTCTTTTTCTTTCTCCCACATATGGGACTCTAGTTGAGTTTCAAAATAGGGAGACAATAGTTGCTATATAAGAATGGAAAGTCAAGATCAGAGGTGTCAGACGGGTGGCCAGCAAAACCCCTGAGTAAGGCCAGATTAAAATGTGATTGAGAAATGTTTAACAAAATCAATAAATAACATGGATAATATTAACATGTGGTTTTCTAAGTCTATATATCTCCTGCAATGAAGATATTTCTTCCTCTTTAATTTTATTAAATTTGAGTTTAAGTACAAAAAAATGAAAAAAAGAACATTTCCATGTACATAGCACAACATAAAAAGAGGATTCAATATAAAACCATGAATTTCCACTTTATACTGTTTACTTAAAAAATATATATAACAAATACTACACAACATTTTAAAAGCTATCCTGCTCTTCTGGGCTTCCTTCTAAGTTTTCTTTTGTTCTCTGCTATGCACTTTAATTTTTTTTTAACTCTTTCCCTCCCCACCATGCCCTGGAGAAGGCTACCGTTACATGAATATGTGTATGTATGCATATATCTGAATTTATGTGTTTTGTTATAATTTTTTCCAGCTCAGCAAAATAATTTTTCTTTTGGTAATTTAATTGGGATGGCATTGAACAAATAGATAAGTTTAGGTAAAATGGTTATTTTTATTATATTGGCTCTGCCTACCCATGAACAATTCAGATTTCTCCATTTACTTAAATACGACTTTATTTGTATAAAAAGTGTTTCATAATTATGTTCATGTAGTTAATTCCTGGGTTGTTTCGGTAAGTATACTCCCAGGTATTTTATACTGTTTACAGTTATTTTAAACAGGGTATCTCTTACTATCTCTTCTTGCAGGGCTTTGTTGGTGATATATAGAAATGCTGGTGATTTATGTGGGTTTATTTTATATCTTGCTACTTTACTAAAATTATTAATTGTTTCCACTAACTTTTTAGTTGAATCTTTAGCATTTCCAAGCATATATCCTATTGTCTGCAAAAAGAGATAGTTTTATTATTTCATTGCCCATTCTGATTCTTTCAATTTTTTCTTGTTCTCTCATTGCTATTGCTAACATTTCTAATGTAATATTGAATAATGTTCGTGACAATGGGCCTTCTTGTTTCACTCCTGATCTTATTTGGAAGGCTTCTAGCTTATCTCCATTACAAATTATGTTTCCTGATGGTTTTAGGTAGATGCTTTTTACCATTTTAAGAAAATATCCATTTATACCTATGCTTTTGAGTGTTTTTAATAGGAATGAGTGTTATATTTTATCTAAACCTTTTTCTGCATCTATTGATATAATCACATATTTTTGTTACTTTTGTTATTAACATAATCAATTATGTTAATAATTTTCCTTATGTTAAACCACATTTATTCCCTGCATTCCTGGTATATATTCCACTTGGACACAATATATCATCTTTGTAGTAAAGTGTTGTTCCCTAGCTAGTATTTTATTTAAGATTTTTGTATCCATATTCATTAATAAAATTGGTCTATAAATTTCTTTCTCTGTTTTTGTTCTTCCTGATTTAGGTATCAGCACCATATTTGTTTCATAAAATGAGTTTTGTAGGACTCCTTTGCCTATTGTTCCAAACAATTTATTTAATATTGGAATTAGTTGATCTGTAAATGTTTGGTAGAGTTCACTTGTAAATCCATCTGGTCTTGATGTTTTTTTTCCCCCTTAGGAAGCTCATTTATGGGCTGTTCAATTTCTTTTTCTAAAATAGGTTTATTTTGATATTCTATTACTTTTTCTGTTAATCCAGGCAGTTTATATTTTTGTAAATATTCTTCCATTTCATTTAAATTGTTAAATTTATTGGCATATAATTAGGCAAAATAACTATAATTGTTTTGGTCTCATCTTCATTACTTTAATACTTCATTACTCGGACTACATTACTTTATTCACCCTTTTCATTTTTAATACTAGTGATTTGGTTTTCTTATCTCTTTTTAAAAATCATATTAATAAAACCAATTCCTAGTTTTATTGATTAATTCAATGGTTTTCTTACACTCAGTTTTGTTAATCTCACCTTTAATTTTTAAGATTTCCAATTAGGTGTGTAATTGGAGTTTTTATTTTTTCTTTTTCTAGTTTTTTTTAATTGCATACCCAATTCATTGGTCTGCTCTTCCTCTATTTTATTGATATGATCATTTAGAGATAAATTTTCCTCTGATTACTGCTTTTGTTTCATCTCATAGGTTTTGATATATTTTCTCCTTATTGTCATTCTCTTTAATGAAATTACTGATAGTTTCTATGACTTGTTCTTTAACCCACTCATTCTTTAAGGGTAAGGTTAGTCTCCAATTAGTTTTTAATTTGTGTTTCCATGGTCTGTTATTGACTGTATATATGTATATATATAGTCAATAAGACACCATGGAAATACAGATCTCTCTCTCTCTCTCTCTCTCTCTCTCTCTCTCTCTCTCTCTCTGTCTCTCTCTGTCTCTCTGTCTCTCTCTCTGTCTCTGTCTCTGTCTCTCTATTTATATATATATATATATATATATATATATATATATATATATATATATATATATATATATATATATATATATATATATATATATATACATCTGAAAAGGATGCAGTTAATATTTCTGCTTTTCTGAATTAAAGTATAAAGATTTTTATGACCTAATATGTGGTCAATTTTTGTAAAGGTACCATGTACCCCTGAGAAAAAGGTGTATTCCTTTCAGTTGTTTTTAATCTCATGTAGATTACTAGGCTAATCAATTTGGAGTTACTGAAAATCTTGAGAGTGTCCAGCCACATTCAGGGCCTTGGTGAAAAACAATGTTGTCTGCCACCTGGAGTATCTGGAGGACCTCACCGCCTTTAAGGAATCCTTCCATTTAAATTCTGTGTGTACCTCCTCCATGACAATTGTGAACATTTTGGCAGGCAGATGTCTCCCTGTTTTATGCCTCATCTAATATTGATAATTGGAATATCATTGAACAATGTTGCATTTATCAAAATGTGACTTTTTATCTGTTATATTTATTAAAAAATCTTAATTGTTCTTATCATTTGCCTGGGAGATCCCATATTAAGGAAGAGCTTTTATATATGTATTCTGCTTTTACTGGGTCTAATTCTCTTTTTATTGGAGCTGGATGGTATAATGGGAAAAGAATACTAAACTGAGCCAGAAAAGCTGGGTTTAAATTCCATTTATTAGCTGTATAACAATGAGCAAATTATTTAACTTCCAAGAGATTGTTTCTTCATTTGCAAAATTTATCTAATGCTTCTTGTACTTCCTACATCGTAGAATTGTGAGGTGAGTGTGTTCAAAACCTTAAAGCACCATGTTAAGTGCACTATTATTGTTAGTCAACAAACAATGAATACAGGGGGATCTTGCATTCTCTATATATTTCAATCAATTTAATTTTTCTGTGGTGATATGGTCTGCCACAGAAAATAATCCATGAAATCTTGGCTGTCTTTTTCTTCTATTTCCATCAAGATTTCTCTGCATATATGGAGAGGTCATTTTTGTTTAAAAAATGCTATGGAAATGAGAAAGTAGGTTTATGCACTGGTAGTCACTAATGTCTTCTCAATAACCTTCTTGGGGGTAATAATATCATCCATTATTCTTCCCATTATTTTGAAAAATCTTGAAAACAAACCCCTCAGTGCTTTTAAAAGTTTTGCCTTCCCAAATTTCTTCTTTGAATACTTGATCAGGTCAAACTGTTCTCAGTTTAATTCTCTTACATCATTTTCATTTTCTCATAGAATTCTGGAATGATTACATTGTTAGAATTTAGATGTGGTGGTTCTACTGCCATTGCTGACAAGAATTTATTGAAAATACTGGCAAGTCTTTTGCATTGTTGGCATATATATTGTCTACTTCTGGTTTCTTCTATAAATGGTCTAGGAATGATTTGATGGGTTCTATGTCAAGCTTATGTCCACCAATTTTTTCTTACATCTTATGAAATGATACTGCTTGTAGTCATACCTGATCCTAACCTGTAATGTTTGGAAAATCAGCTGGTACTCTATTGTATTGTCTTCGGCCGCCATGCCTCTCCAATTGGTAAGGAAGGAGATCAAGCAAGTGCAGCTTGAGGTGGCTTTTGGGTTCTTGTTCTATGCACTGTTGCCATGGTTTTGTTCAAGTTAAACTTCCCTAAAACTGATGATACTCAGAGTCAATATCTTAACTTTTATCCTTTTCCCCCCCATACTCAACAGCTTATTTAAATAGGTCGTTTGATGTAATTGTAACTGGTGTCATTTTTATCCTTCTAATTTGGTGTTGAATTTGACACCTTCTGTAGCTAGTTATTGGTCTAAATGCAAACAAACAGCTGACTCCAGAGAAGTCAACAATCATTTATTAAGCACCTACTATATACCAGGCAAGGTGCTAAGAGCCAGGGATACAAAGAAAGGCAAAAACATTAACTCCAAAATGCTTTCCACCTCAGAAATCACTACTTTTTCTTCATTAAATATGCATATAGCCATTTTTTATAAATTAATGGTATTCATTGCTTTCCAACTCTCTTTTTGAATAAAGTATTCCTGTTATATAGGCATATATCTTTTTAATAGCACAGAAACTTTTTTTGTCTTTTAATCCTTAATATTGAACAATATTTTCCAACATAATCTATCATCTTTGCCTGTGCCTGCTTTCCTGCTGAAGCTACTACATTATACCTTAGTATAATATAATTTGTCATTCTCTATATAACCCAGTATCCCAGCACCTCAGGCTCTGGATTTATAAAGACTCAGTTCAATTTTCCTTCTCCTTCTACTACATCCCTCCCTGATCCCCACCCCCATTATGCTTTTTGGGCTCAAGATACCTGCACTCAGAGGGAGTTGTTAGATATCTCATAAGGTAGGCAAAATATAGGTTATGTAATGCATGATGGGTATGGCATAGCCTTTATTCCACCCAATGGGAAATGTAAAATCCTATTAAGGACTCACAGTAGAATATGAATAGTCAATGTGATTCCTGTTATTTCTTCAGTGTGTCCCATATTTCTCAAGGGCCTGTGTAGTCCTCCAGATTCTTCCTAGCACCTCCACAGGTTTGGAATTCCTCCAGAAGTAAAATAAACTTTGAGTTTCTAGTGAGTCAACTCTTAAAATTCTAGTGAGTATCTTTGCCACCTGCAGGAGGTTTTCAGGCTTATAGAACTATCCTGAGGTCTTTGGCTACCCCTCAATGGGAAACACATTTGGGGCTGCCAGACAGACCATTCATTCCCAATTAGATCTATATATTTCAGGAATTCACGGTAGTAATAGGAGAGAATAAAGTCCAGTGTTTTCACTCTTCTATATCATGGCCTAAATTTCCTTACTATTCTTCCTCTTTGGGGACCACATGAATCATTCTCTTCTCCCAAAGAGGCTGGCTCTGCCCAAGAGCTACCCTTCTTTTGCTAGAAGGCTGTTCTACAAATGCTAGAGAGACAACCATAAGGCTAGTAGTACCTAGGAATTTCCCCTTCTAGAAGGCTAAGGTTTAGGAAATCTTACCACTTAGTTATATGCTTCCCCTTTCCATAATTGCCATAGCTCAAGCTGTGAAAGCATGAATGAATGAGAAGCATTTATTAATCACTTACTACATGCCAAGCACCTAGTTCAGTACTGGGTATACAAATACAAAAATGAGAAGTCCCTTTCTTCAATGAACTAACGCTGTAATGGACACATAGAGTGGAGAGGTAAGGGATGGGAAGTGTGATCTGGGAAGTCACAGTGATGGTGAGTAGAACAAGAGGGAAGTCAATTGACATGTCTTTTCCATAGATATTAGTAGTGTTAATATTAATATAGTTCCCTATGTAAGAAGTAATAGTCATACTAGTATTTCTCCAAGGCCAGAGACAGAAACTACATACAGGTCAAGGCAGTCAAGCCACACAATGAGGGCATATGCAACTCTCACATACCTATATCCCAAGGTTGCCATTTGTAGCTGTAGGTTGGGATGGGACTCCTTTCTCCCCAGGGTCCATGTTAACTCTTAGCTCTGCTGAGTGCTGGTTTGTTTTCCTAAAAGGAAAAGAAGAAAAAAAGCTAAAAAGGCTGATTCTGTGACTGATCCAATCCGCAAAAGTGGGTATCTTCTCTCCACAACAATTTAGCACAATCAATTCATACCCAATAATACAGACTGATCTTCTATGAGAAATAAAGGGTCCTGCCCATATACTGCACAGTAAGATGTGGAAGACTCACTTCCCTATAAATTGAGCAGAGAGCTCCTATCAACCCCCTTTATCTAATCTATACTTACCTCCTTTAAGAGAACTTTCCTGATTTTCTCTTTCTTAATGCCTCCTCCACCTCCCATTACTGTGTATTTATTTTGTACATATCCTGAATTGACTTCTCTGTGAACATATTGTAAGCTCCTTATAAAATACATACTTCCTTGAGGCATGGATTCTCTCCCTCTTCTATTTGTATCCCAAACACCTACCACAGTGCTTGGCACATATTAGACCTTAATAAATGCTTGTTGATCACTGTTCTCCAAGAGAGGCTGCCATTCTCTTCATAATGGTCTTTTTGTATATGTTCATCATGAGAACTGCAAGACAAGGTTCCCAAACGGTCTGTGGTGAGCCAGTATTTCCTATTGCTTTTAGATACACAGGGCAACCAGCCCTTTTATTTGCCTCTGATAATCTGGGAGCCCTCCTTCTGTTTAGCGGTAACTTCTCTTCGTCTTCTTGTTTTCTTTAATGCGAGAATGTCAATATTGGTGTGGTTTCAGTTCCTTTAGGAGTTTATAACTAGGTTTGACTGGACAAAAATCTCACGTTCAAGTAACTGAGAATTAAATGAATGCTTATTAATGGTCTGAAGAGTGATTATAACAATCTCAGCAATCCCTCTCCCCTAACTCAATGCCAGTAGCTTCTTGCTTCCTCTAGGATCAAATATAAATACTCTATTTGTCTTTTAAAGCCCATCATAACCTGGCCCATTTGCACTCTTCCAATCTCCTTGCACCATATATCCTATCACATACTCTATCATCCAGGGCCCCTGGCCTCCTTGTCGTTCCTCACGTGAGACGCTCCCACTCTGCACATTTTCCTTTGCTGTTCCCCATACCTGGAATTCTCTCCCTCCTTATCTCTGTCTCCTAGCTTCCCTGGCTTCCTTCAGGACCCATAGACTTCTTCAAGAAGTCTATCCCCACCCCTCTTCATGTTAGTGACTTCCCTTTAAGATTATGCCAATTAATCTCATATGTGCATGCCATGATATATACACACATACATCCATCATGATATATCTATACACAAGTATACATATGTATGTATATATGTGTGAATATACACATACACTTATATATGTAATATTCCACAGCCTTCATGACATGGATATCCCTATACTCTAAATACCTGAACAGCTGAGGGAGCACTGAGCCTGATTTTAGGCCTAAACTGCATACCCTTTGAACCGCAATACCTCATTACTTTGCTGTTGTTCAGTCATTTTTCTGTTGTGTCTGAGTCTTCACTGACCTTATTTGGGGGTTTCCTGGCAAAGATGCTGGAATGGTTTGACATTTCCTTCTTCAGATCATTTTACAGATGAGGAAACTCAGGCAAACAGGGTTTAATGACTCACCCAGGGCCACACAACTAGTAAGTTTCTGAGGCTGGATTTGAACTCAGGAAGATGAGTCTTCTTGACTCCAGGCCAGGTACTCTATGACTATAGTGCTACCTAGCTGCCCCTATATATACCTCCTTCTTATATATTCTTTATAGATAATCTGGCTCCAGAAATTTCTATATTTAGAACTTCAGGATGAGCCCACTGCTTTATGAGAAACGACAGATTAGGAAAATAAGATAATGATCCAAGCAAAAGCTGGGAAGCAAGGGTCAGAAAACTCTGAAGTAATCACAATGATATTTTTTGTTACTATTTATTATTTATTAACATTGATTATATTATGAGATTTTCAAAGTGATTTATGAACATTGTCTCATTTCATCCTCCTAAAAACTCTTTATGCTATTATTATCCTCCTCTTACAGACAAAAGATCTAAGAATCAGAGAGATACAAAGTGACTTAGCTAAAGCCCCACAGTCAGTCTATGAGGTAACCAAGGTGTTCTTTACTCTATGTGTGAGATTCTGGTTGCTATGTCACATTGCCTCTCCAGTCCACATGCAGCAACAAGTCCAGTAGTCAGGAAACAGGAAAGCACCTCTAAGGCAGATAAGTGATGAGAGCAGCACACATGATACCCTCAGCCAGAGGGCCTGTGTTGGTCCATGAACTTTTCAT